GGGGTACATTAAATGGAATGGCATCTTGTGATAAGATCCTTCTCATAACTGGGACGACTGGAGGTAAATAAATATTGCTAATATCAAAATATTAACTCACCGTACATCCATATTGTAAGGCAAACTTTGACAATGTATCATTTGGAAACACAGTTCTAAGTAATATATTAACTTTTTGTAAATCACTTTTTGGTTTCTCCTCCTGTCCATTTTTCCCCTTTCTTGCACGAATTTTTCCCATCTCGAATACAGTATCCTCATCGTCTTCGTCCAAACATTGGGCATCATCTTTTCCAAAAACATACACACGTCCAGTTTCGTAATTTTGCTGCTGAGCACCTCCATTTAGTAATGGCCTTTTTTCTATCTTTTTTAATACACTCGGAGTATATGCCGCTTTAGGCTTGTCCATAATAAAGTGTAGAAAAGACTGTTGTACACTATAATAATAGCAGGCAAAATTTGCCTTCCTCGGTCGAACTTTAAATGATGATTTATACCATTAGTCATTTGGCGATTTCCACAATTTTCACTCACACAGTCCACAAGGTTAGGAGGTTTAAACCTGTACCGTTAAAATTTAAGTTTCGTGAAGAAGTAAAAGTCTTTTAGTATTTTTCAGAAGTGTTTTTATTATTCCACGTTTCGACAAATGATTCATGTTTTTTTTTGTATTTTAAATACGCGCATTCTTTTATTGGTATATACCGCTGGGCAAGTACACAACGTGCTTCCACTTTGTTAATTTTCCATTTTGCAAAGAAATACCGTCGTTGACATCTAACGTTGACCATTCGCAGATAAAGACATTGTCTACAGTGAGTCACGTGAATTTTCATGCTTGTTAAAAGAACTCGATCAGCCAATCACGTGAAAATACAATGTTTCACCTGTTGAAAGATTTTGTAGATTGAAATGTCGAGGATAACTTTTAGACATTTATAAAATTTGCACTTAATTCCATCTAGAAATCCTTCAAAAATCGCCCAAAAATCCTAATGTTTATTCGTCAAGAAATCATTGATAAGTATTTATTCTGATTAGCGCCTTTAACGATTTTAAATTATTTTAATAAGTTTTTAATTAATATTCTAACTAACTAAATTTGTTACACACTTTTAAATATGCTTTTAAATTAAACTGTTTAAATGATAACTTTGTTACAAATAATAAATACGCTGTACATTATTTATAAATTAACGGTAATTGTCATATTTTACAAACATTACTGAAATTATTGAAGAAAATGTTAAATGTTAAAAAGTTTTTAAGTGTTAAGGAAGTTAGCCAACATTGATTAATAGGTTGCAATGAAAATGTATACTTGAACGATATTAACTTATGAGACTTTCACTATTTAAATTCCTACCCAGCTCCTCCGCAACAGGACAGGATAATTCTGTGTTGGCTTGTAGTGAAGGTCGAGAGATATCCAGCAATATCCCATCAATATGAACATCTTTTAAACATCCATAGAACGGTGAAGTTGCACCAAGGCTGCTTTCTATACATAACAAATACCAGAACAAAATTAACTTCTTTATACTGGATAGTTCTACAAGTTCTGAACCGTATGAAATGTTCTCTCTAGAGGTCCAGCAAGACCATCACTTTTTAGGAAGAGGTTATTTCGCTGGCCTCAGAGTGACAAAACGTAACAAAGCAATGGTTTTACTAACACTAACCCTATTCCAAACACCAACTCTAACCCTAACCCTACTCCAAGTTTGTTTCTAAACCAATCTTGAAGAAAAACGTTTTGACGAAATGTCATTCAGCGAAATAACCTTTCCCCACAGTTTGGTTCAATGCTACGTCAACAGGAAACTAAACTTTATTCATACTGGATAGCTCTATCAGTTCTAAATCATATACCATAAAGGTCTGGTAATGGCCTTCCTTTATTAGTCCAGTGTTACCAAAGGAGGAAACTGGTGAACCTGAAATGGTGTTTAGTATAAAAGTCAAACTTGAAGTACTTTTCTCAATATGACTTACTACATACATTTATAAAACATTACCTGTTAGCTGACCCAGAAACAAAGTACCCATCAGACCACCACCATCAACCACATCACTTGTAACCTCAAATACTTTATTGATCACCATGGAAACTTTGGTTCCCTGCTTCGTGATTTGCACGTGATACCACTCCAGTTGACAAATGATGTACGAATCGTGGGTTGCGTTTGAAGATGGCATCCAGGACAGTTGGGTATTGCCAGATTCATTGGTATAGTTGAGAAGAAGCTGTAAATAAAAAAAATACGATCGATTTAAAACCTAGAGGACAGCTGTTTATAATTTTGTTTGTGATACTCATTAATAATTCATGAAGAAAACACAAAAGAAATCATGAGCGTGAAGGAGTTTGTATATCTGATACAAAATCATGCTGATTTACATACATTTTAAGTTTAATTTTCTCACCAAATATCATTCATTTATTTTAAATTATTGAAGAATACGAATGTTCTCATCAAGACGTTTCATAAGCCATCATATGTCCGTCTTGTATCGGATATACAAACTCATATCCAATACAACACGGTCGCTCATGTTGTAAATGATACTTGTGAAATACAAACCTTTCCAGATTTCTGTTGCAAAATCACACCACGACCTTCGGATGCATCCAAAGCGAACAGCAGACCATCACGTTGGTAGGTGCGAAATTGAAAACTGATTGAAAAATCTCTGGACAAGGAAACATCATCTACAAAAGAAGAATATAATGATAAGAACCGATAGAGACGTCCATTAGTAACACTGAACCAATAAAGGATGGCTCTTGCTGGATCTGTAGGGAGGAAAGCTTAAATTGATAGATCAATAATAAACTACACACGTAAAAATCTCACATCTTGTAACAAGTCTGCCAACAAGCCGTCAACAAGTTGTATTCGC